TTAGTTGGAGCTATCCAGCTTGGAAACGATCGACCGGTCGGCGTCAGCGCTCAGAGCGCCTCGATTGTGACTCAGCTACTGGTTCGGCGTCACGCACGTGCATGTCGTTCGATGCTTGAGCTGGCTGCTCTGTCTCGGCAACTGTTTCTGTGTCGGACAATCTCGGTCGCACATAATCTAAATGGCGTCGAACGATCCTGCCATCCTCAGTCTCTGCTTCTATTATCTGTCCGTTAGTTGTTTTAACGACGGCTGGTTCCCACCCCGAGCCTGTAGGTAAGCGAATGTAGATGGGATCTGAATCTGTCACATGCTTGTCTCTGCTCTTTCACTTGTTGTTGTTTTTCCGAAACTTGTGACTCAATAAATCCAATCGTTTACGCAGTCGACGACCAAACGTTAACTCTGCGGGGCTTCGGCCTGTGATCTCGTTTGGCATGTTTCGATATGCGAACAAGAACGATCCAAACGCACACGCAGCGGAGCATTTGGTTGTTTTATTAGCAGCTTCTTCACTGTTTGTACGGCTCTCTCCGCCAACCCATTAGAAGAAGGATGATAGGGTGCAGTTGTCATGTGTTTAATGCCGTTCGAGTTGAGGAAGGTAGAAAACTCAACACTGGCGAATGCTGGTCCATTGTCAGATACTAATGTCTCGGGAAGGCCAAATGTTGTGGACGTTGTGCGTAGTTTCTCTATAGTACCAGCTGAATTTGCTGAAACAATAATATGGGCATCAATCCATTTAGAATGGGCATCGATGATTAGCAAAATCATCCGACCTTCGTAGAGACCTAAATAGTCTACGTGGACTCGTTTCCAGGGTGTTTCTGGCCACTTCCAATGGCTGCATTGGCGCATGAGGAGCGGCGTTTCGGGTCTACTGGCAAGGTCTGCAACTTCCAACCTTCGCCACAATATCACGGTCTAATTCAGGCCACCACACATAAAATCGAGCTAACGATTTCGTCTTTGCGATACCTGAATGCGCATCATTTGGTTCGTCAAGGATGTGACCGAAATTTCTTGGGGAAAATAACTCGTGCGCCCCACAGCAAGCATCCATTCTGGAGGCTGAGTTCAGACATCCTGTTACGGAAGGGCATAGCGTTTGACCAACGATAGAACAGAGTCTCTGTCAGTTTTCTGACTTATGTCTGTACATGTGACTAGGGAATCATTAAAATGCTGGACCAGGTTTACGAGCTCTTGTGGGATAAATTCTTTCGATGGTGTCTCTGGTAAGGGAAGCCGGCTAAGAACATCAGCGGTGGTATTCTGTTTGCCTGGAACGTACTGAATTTCATATGTATACGCAGAAAGAATAAGCGACCAACGTACCATTCTAGGTGAAGCCATTTGTTGAATACTTTTCTGGTGACCGAAGAGGAAAACAAGAGGTTTATGATCCGTATGGATCACGAAAGGTCGCCCGAGTAAATATTACAGAAGATGACAGCGGCTGCCTCTCGATCAAGTTGAGAGTAGTTCCGTTCTGCTGGTGTCAGGGTTCTTGAAGCGTAAGCAATGGGACGTTGAGAGCCATCCGGTAATTTGTGCATTAAAACAGCTCCGAGACCGTAAGGTGAGGCGTCACAAGAAAGAACAACAGGCTTCTGCGGATCATAATGCACAAGAACATCTGTAGATGCTAAGAGCTTCTTGACCGCTTTGAATGCATTTTCATGAGTATTGTTCCAATTCTAGCTTTGGTTTTTACGTAGCAGCTGGTGAAGCGGATGCAGATGAGTTGCTGCCGATGGTATAAACCTGGAAAACTGAGTGACAACACCGAGGAACGACCGCAATTCATGAACATTCTTGGGTGCTGGCGCCTCAAGTAGCGCCTTTGTCTTTTCTTCCAGTGGGTACAATCCTTCACGTGACAACCGATAGCCAAGATACTGTACACTCGGAAAAAGGAACTCACACTTTTCTCTTTTTAGAACCAAACCGGCATCCGATAATCGCTTCAGGACGACGTCCAATGTATGTAAGTGCTCGGCGGTAGTTCGTCCAGTGATTAAAATGTCATCTAAGTACGCACATGTGTTTGGTATATCTTTCACGAGTGAGTCAATAATACGTTGAAAAATAGATGAAGCCGAGCTTATTCCAAAAGGCCTGCGTATATAGCGGAACAATCCGAGATGAGTACTAATGGTGGTGTACGTGCGTGATTCCTCATCGAGTTCAATTTGTTGGTAGGCATGACTCAGATCTCGTTTTGTAAATAGATCACCACAGGAAAGGGAAGCGTAAATGTCTTCAATCTTTGGTAGCCGATATCGGTCTAATTTTAACGCTTGGTTTATCGTAACCTTGTAATCCCCGCAGATTCTTATCGTACCATCGCTCTTCAATACTGGTACAACGGGGGCTGCCCAGTCTGAATACTGGACGGGTTCAACGGTACCTTCCAACTGGAGTCGGCGCAGTTCACTTTCGATCTCATCACGGAGGGCATAGGGAACAGTGCGAGCTTTCCAGAACCGCGGTTTTGTCTTTGGTTTCAATACCAGATGTGCACTGTAATTCTTTAAAAGTCCTGATCTCAAATGATCAAATAAGACTGCATGCTTCTGCAAAATCTCGGACAACTGCGGATTGTCTTTCACCAGGTTGACGTTCGACATTATGCCAGGAAGGCGCTTAATTCCATCGCGGCCCAGGATGTTCGGACCCGGTCCTCCAGAAACGTACACACAAGTATGACTCGTTGAATTACGGTAAGAAATGCGTGCATTTAAGGTACCAAGCACATTCACCATCTGTCCCGTGTGAGATCGCAACTGTATGTTCGGTGGACACAGTTTTGGAAGTTGGGATAAGGCGTTTGGTCGGATCAAAGTGACTGCAGAATCGGTATCAATTTCAAACTCTACCGGTTGTTCGTTTACTTGGACGGATACGACAAACGGTTTTTCTACTGTAATGGTGCGATTACAAACGGTTGTGGTGTTAATCCACTTCTTGTGCAATTCATCGGTAATGCAGTTTGTAGCCTTAACTTGTTCCTGGACGAGTGATTTACGCTTGGAGAGACACACTTTCTGAATGTGACCCATTTTTCCGCAAAATCTGCGTAATGAATTAATGTGCGGACAGTCAGTCGGGGACAAGTGATTCTTCCCGTAACGGTAACGACGGAATTCCTTGCGCTGGACGGGGCAAGGTAAGGCATGTCCACGCTTAGTCTGGTAGACCTTGTTTACGTCATGTGAGATTGATTGATTTGAAGAGGGAAATGTGGCTAGTTCCTGGACGAGGTTGGCACGCTGTCGGACTATATCACATGCTTTTTCCCACATCAGTAGCGTTTCATCTTCGGAGATCAGACGTTCTCGTGCCTTCTCATCGAAAACACCCACGATTAATGCCTGTAACAGCATCGCTTCTTCGAACTGGGCTGGATGGATCTGATCATAGGCGCAGTCAGGGAGAGCAGTAAGAAGACGAGAGATAAACTCATTTACAGTCTCATTTGGCTGTTGTCGCATGGTGCTGAATTTATATTTAGCAGTGAACACATGGGGCTTTTCCCCCATATTCGGTCTAGTGAATAGAACACAATTTTTAGGTCTCGCTTCGTATGTACTTGTAAACTGTCGAAATGTCGCTGGCCCTCGATGCCGAGATGGTGGCGTAGTAATTTAATTTTCGCTGCATCATCAATCGTGCAATTTCCGCCAAGGAGCAAAAGCAAATCAACGTAGTCAGTAAATGTAGTTTTCCACTGCAACCATTGTTGCGCAGTAAGCCTCTCAGTAGAAGAATTCCAAAAGGGTTGGGTTGCCGTTATTGAATTTGCCATGAGCAATCAGAATAACCTCCGTCGCCAAATTGTTACACTCAACCGAAATCAGAACAACAGTATTGCAAATGGACGTTTAGTAGAAGCAATGGCAATAGTACATCGGCAGTCCACACTGGGTACAAGATCAACTGTTTAGTTTTACGCAGTTCACATGTTTTAGCTAAGCACTTGCTTTTGAACCAATCAATAAGCATCGCTGGTTAGTCGGGAGGTGGACACTCACGCACTAGCGCGCACAATGCGACTCCACAGGCTAGGTAGTGTAGCATGACCTTGACTCGCTCAACGTCTGTATAACTACTCCTAAATCGGCCTCAGTTTTTACCTGCATACTGCCGGGTTTGGTTTCGAAAGTCGATGGATGGGCTTAATCAAGGTCCTACATCGGTGGCATTGTGACTTTCATTGAACCTCCCACTTCTCCTTCCAATCCTAACACAACCTCTTTCTCAGTGTATATTAAGGAAACAGCGTAACGTCATTTATCTCTTTTTTATCTTGTTATCAACATCTCGTTGGGTTGTATCGGAGCACAATCGTTGTGTTTCTCACCTCTAGCTGATGTGTAGGATGAATAAATGGTCATCACCCGCCTTTGTTCTCGTCGCGCCCTATTTCTTGACACCATTGCCATGTCCCTGTCATTGTGCATGATAATAGCGGTATTTCTGTTTCACTGATAATACTCCGTACTCTCAGCGCTAGTCTCTGCGCCTTCTACTACCTACGATAATCCACAGTATTCGAGCTACACTGTACATTCGGCTGCTTAGGCCATCCGTTCGGCATTGTGATATTTCCTTTCCAATCCCATGCTTTTTGATATCGTCTTTTTCAACTTCAGTTAAAACCGAAAACTTTCCACTTCCTTTATTCGGGTTAGTGTAATATTTTGTCGGCCTCTTGGTTACTAAAGATATTCATTACGCCTCTGCAGTCGCTGCTTGTCTTTTTCGTTTTTTAAATGTTGCCAGTCATCCCATTTCCCACTCCGCCACGTTTATCAACATTTACCTCCATACATGTTAGTATTGCTGCGCATCTTCTCAAGCGTGGTCACCGTCTTTCTTCTTTGGGCTTCTTTGACCTTACTGCATGAAAGCTCAAGATCCATTAGTTCGCAACATCGCTGTTTGCTCGAGACCTACCAGGCATCAATACTCATTCCTCTTGCATTTTCCAGGCATATTATGCGTGCGAAAAGAATGAGGAGGCTGCTGCTAACTTCCTTCTCAGTGAGACGCTCGACGACGAGATGGCATGATTGTCCGTCAGTTTCCCCTGCGTTACACTTGGCTCACTTGTGCATCAAATTGTGTTTGACCCTCTCACGCGCATGTACTTAAATTGCCCCCTTTTATTTTTCAATTGTCCTTCCACAGTAGCCATGTTAAACCGCGCTCCTGAATCCACTTCCTTCATACTTTCTTCCTTTTGCGCATATGCTCTTCCATGTAGCACTTACGTTTGCTCGCTACATCGGCTGGTTTTCCATTGTTGTTCACAGTGCCATAGGAAGTTGATTTCGGCTCCCTATTGACTGTATATGCTCATTCTCGCTTCCTTACTTTCCAACAGTTTTTTTCCTTCTACTCTTGTAAGCCTGTTGCACAACCACATTACACATGTGATTATCTTCAGCCGGCTGTTGACGACACGTTCACAGTTAAGAAAAGCATCTCGCTCCATTTGGCGAAATTTACCAGGTTTATAATCCAGAACTCATCTCAATACATGTTTTTGTTATGGATTCTGTTCTTTACTAAGGCGACGAACTTCAGTGTCAAAATTCGAGCATGTTTAGACTTTATCACAAAATATACTTGAGGCCAATCGGCAAGTCATCATTTCAGGAAAGCTCGGAAAGCAACTGGTTAATCTATTTGCTGGGTTACATTTCGCTTTTCATACACCAAGTTTGTCTAACCGGTCTAACAATTCGTCACATTTTACTACAAACGCGGCATACATCCACACCCCTGTCGGGTTCCGCCCCCATGACTTCAGGATGCCAGCACCTAGTACCACTTTGCCATGGGTGATAGCCGCGGACCTACGTGATTGACAGTCCACTTTGTGTCAGTCAGAAGGCTTTTGTTGATACACGTTTATCCGTCATCTTACCTTTTTCAATGCAAGGAATTTCGTTTGATACTTGACTCAAATCTTATTGATAGGTGGTGTTGACAGTCTCCGTGCATCCTGACCCACCGGCTGGCAGTCATGACATTGACTGGATGAACACAAAACCAAACATTATATATATATATATATATATATATATATATATATATATATATATATATATGCAGTCCACTGCATACATGCCACTGCGGCGGAGCACTTTCGTGTCAACTCGGCCGATGCGCAAACTACGACGCAGACATTGTTTAAGTTGCTCCAAATATCTGACCTTTATCTATTTAGCTGACTCGTCTTCCCCTCCTTGATGGTTTACCTGACCGGCTTGGATGATGCACACATGACCACATGTGCTTAACATCGATGGGTTCATCTTCATCGGCGAATGTCGCTTCCATAATCGGATTGATGCTGCAGTGCCTCCTAATGCATCCGGGTAGCCGCATTCTTGATTTGGCCAAGTCATTGACGGCGATCCACTGCTATTGCTCCCCAACACCTAAATTCAAACAGTTTGTTTGATCAATCACTCACGCGACGAAACATATGCAGCAAAACTGCGAACTCAGCAAATGCTCCGACCACCAACTGAACCACCTTGGCTACCAATATTTCTATATAAACGTTCGGTGTTTCTTTCTAAATGGAGTTCTACAAATACAGCGACGTAGACTATACTGTTTGGCCCTGTTTGGAAAACAACTCTTCACTCGCAACACAATAGAACTTTGGTAGCGCTTTGAGTTCTTCCGTGTGCATTTTTATCAGTACGGTAGATGGAGATCCCATAGTAGTGTCTTGTTTATGGATGCAAATTCTCAACTGAAATGCGATATAAACCATATCAAGGTACACTGCAACCCTTTAACACAGTGGATTAGCAGTTAGATTTATTCCATCATCAATGTTACTATCCCAATTGGACACCTTGTTGTTCTTAATGCCTTGTTTTCGGATGCATATGTGAATGGCGAGGCACTCTCGAAGCTGCCAACTAGCTGCTATGCTCGGTGATCAAATCTTTCACCATTCGTGCCGACTCAAAGGGCCTCCTAATCCATGTATTTGTTCTCTCTGCTAGATATTACAGCAGTTTCACCAGATACGTTGCGATTCCTTATGTAGTGGGGCCTGTGTCGCCCATAACGGGCCAGATGGGGACACTGGGCTAATGTATCTTTCTTGGTGGTGGTGGTGGAATGGTCGACTTCGGATGAACGCTGTGCTACTTACTTTTTCTGTTCGCTGTTCTTGTATAACTACCTAAATGTGATTTATTCTCGTTTCTTATCAGTATCACCGTTTTGTGCCGAATCGCCTCATGGAGTCACTCTTTGTCCAAATAATTCGCATTATTCATTACCACCACTGTTTTACCTTGATAATCACTGTACTAAGATCTTCCTTCAAAGTATCTAGCACTGTGCGTTCAGTTGGTGCAATTTGCGTTCCTCGTTGTTGAATTTTGATTACACTCGCCAATTGTGCGCACGTTCTCTGCTTTTTCTGCAGGTGATATTGTAGCCTTAGTTACAACATTGTAGTTCGCTGCTTTTGCCTCTTATCTTCGATTTATTTACAGTGTAGTTCAAATTAAATGGCTGCCGGATACTTTTCGGACATGCGATAGCCATCTGACTGAATTAAGTTCTGATAAATCTAACTGTATTATTTTGGTACACTCGAACCCGCCTCATTATCCACCCTGTTTATTGCCCAGTAATTCAAAAAACAAATTCTTTTCTCATTAAAAGCTAAATTTTCACTGTCAAATTGCTCATTGCCGGGTCGTCTCACCGCTTAATTGCCCAGCTGCGTGGGGTGTGCTCTTGTCGTTCTGTCAATTTTACGCTCTCGCTGTGACTATTTTATTAAAATTACCCCACAGCTAGCCAGTCCGACCGAGTCAAGAACAACAAAAATGTCGATGGTGTTAGTGACAGATCAGAAAAGGTTACCTATTCAAAACTCGAGAACTGAGCAAAGTCGGGTAATCTTTCCGCTCCACCTTTGTATGAACAGTAACAGGAAGGATTTGTCCTTGACAGAAATGTTGGACGTTTTGGGCAAAATTAAAAGTTATCCATCAGTAACCTCGCGGGACAACTTATCGCGAGATTTATGTCTTTCTCGTCATACCCTCTGCCATCAAAAAGGTGCTCCGACAGAATTTGTCGCATGTGCTGCAACTCGCAGAAAAGGACGCGCTGTGGACAGGATGAAGAATTTGAAACTGCATTCAAAGACTGGATGATATCGGTTCGTGAGCGCAACCAAACATTTACAGGCAAGAACATACCTTTCCTCATGAATTAATTCACTGAATCATGACGCACTGCCCGCTGACTTTCGGGAGTACATTGTATTGAAGGTTTTGCCTGAGGACCTGGGCCATTCTTTTATACAGGTCTGGGCACCCTGGCAGTATCCTAGTCCAACAACTAACCATGGATCACACCAATAATAATCTCATGCTACATCGGCCGTCGTGCGGTGACACTAGGAAAGGGGTTGCCTTATCTGCGGCATACAGCATGGTGGATGAGCGAAAACATGCTACCGCGGACGCCTTCCTTCTTCCACTACACATACTCTCCCAGTCCCTTTTTTCACCTAACCCAATAATTATTCCCACACAAGACATCACACGAACGTTTTTCCGCACTACCGCAATTATATGCCGCCTGCAAAGCACTCAACCTCGTGTGCTTGAACGTGCGCACACTACTGGACCGGCACACGAATGAGCGACCCGAGCGACGCACCGCTCTGGTCGCGATGGAACTCGCGCGCTTCGGGGTTGGCATTACTGCCCTTAGCGATACTTGGCTCGCTGACCAAGACATGAGGCTGGTATTGGTTACATTTTCTACTGGGTGCGGAAGACCACCTCAGCACTATCTGAACATGCGGTCGAATTATCACTGTCCGACCGTTTAAATTGCCATCTGATGGCAGAGCCGACTGGCATCAGCCCACAATTGGTGACACTTCGTCTGCGAAATGGAAGAGGTGAGTTTGCCACTTTTATGGGCATGTATGGTCCTACCATGTGTTATGCTGATGACACGAGTGATCAGTTTTACAATCAGTCATCATCTGTGTTACGGTCTGTGCTGAGGAGCGACCGTGTTCAACTCTTCTTTCCCTCTGCCACTGACAACTGTCGTACTGTCTGCCTTGCTTCCCTGTGAGACTACGCCTGTCTGACTGCTTAGTCACGCGCCCAGCCAACCGAATCAATACAAAAGACCATAACTCGGTAGACAGAGAGTTTATCTACAGGTTAAGTTGACTCTATTTATTGGTAAAGGAAACATGCTAATTTAAGAGGTCAAGATCACTCACTCTTCTGCATCTGACTTCCAGCCAGTATGAGTGAATTCCGCTCCACGGATTTAGTATATTGACAGAATAGTTCGATTCCTTTGACGCGAGCTGATATTTGCTGGCCGACCAATTCTCACTCGATTCTAAACTTCAGCGGAAGGGTCCAAGGTTGTTGCACGCCAGTGCTTATGACCTTTGCATGTAGCGTACAGCTCCGCTTACACCGCTATTAGCCCGGATATTCCTACTGAGTAACTTCAACGCTCACCTTGGGCGTGATGACGCGGTGTGGACAGACGTAAACTGTCTTTATGGTGCTGGCACAGGCATTGGAAACGGTGACCGGGTGCTCTCATTTTGTGTCACTTGGCCTGACGGTCATGCACACCCTATTTGCACTGGTGAAATGAAATCCTTCCGTTCAGCCAATATCAATCCTGGTCCTTCTATAATCGCCCCAAAGTAGAGTCACTGCACTGTCCTACGTGATTTCCACACTAGTACTAAGGATCCGTTCGAGTGTTATTTTACACCCGCGCACGTGTTTGGTTGTGTTCTTTCCGGTCAGCTGTCATCTATCTGTGTCATTTTTCCTAATCTTTTCTTTCGTTGGATTCAATGATACACTTATAGTGACCTGGAAAGTCCCCCGTTTGACTACATTATTTTAAATTATTCTAAAATTATGGTTTTCTTATATATCAAGGAATTAAGCGCTTTGCTTGTCTGATTTTCGCTTCCGTTTGTCTGAGATACGTAACACGCGGACAGCCATTTTGCTACCAATCAGACGCGACCTGCTGACAGACGCTTGTCCTCCCACTCGATACATGTCCATATTCTCTCTTTGCTGCCCTATTTTTAGCTTTAGCCACCTTAGCAATCGTCCAGGAAATCTTTTTCAGCTCATTTTCATATGTTCTACCGTGCGCTCTCGGTTGGTCGTTTAGCCGCGAATCTGATATATAGCGCAGGATTGACGCGCTGTACACTGTTCCATCGTTCAAGAACGACACATGTATGCCTACTGTTCGTCTGATGTCGTCATAGTTGTCAATTAGCTATTCTGGAAAGCTGCCATGTGTCTTCGACAGTTTCCACACATTACCGCTTGGCCCACTGCATATTTACCACTGTTTTGTTGTTGATGTTTGGCATCAAGTCCGACACCATCATCATCATTACACGTTAGCTGGAGGTGGAATACACCTCAGCTATTGTGCCGCAATACAAAATAAAAGAAAAGGAAAACAGTGGCAAGCCCGCTGAGTCCCCAGT